GTGGCACTTGCCCGAGGTGACTGGCCTGACCTTTTCTGCCTGGGGCCCAAAGAGGTAGGGACAAGCTGGATGCAGGGACTTGGGGCAGGGGTCAGAGGCCAGGCTGCCTCCCCTGCTCCCAGCCACCTCACCTCGGGCTATTGGGCTCACACACTGCCAGGGGTGCACCTGACCTGCACAGTAAGGAACTAAGGAGGGGCAGCACCTGGTGTTTGCTGCAGGCGACCCTGGGATTTTCCACCTCTCCTTAGCCTTGGTTTCCTAAGTTTCTGAAATTCCAAGGAATTAATCACAGTTCCCTGGTATTTCTTCGGTTTACCAGGGACACCAGTTCTCACCCTCAGAGGCTGTTTTTGTCTTTTCTTTGATGTTGTAAAGCACCCCCACCCTGCCAGTTGAGGAATACCTGACACAGCCGAGAATAATCAAACGTGTTCTGGTAGAAAAGGCCAAGGAATCACGTGCCACTGTGTACACAGGTGGAGTTAAAGAGCTGCTGTTTTCGCAAGTAGGCACTTTTTTAAAATTTTAACTGAAGTACTTGTAGATTCACACATGTGATTATAAGAAATAACACAGAGACCCAGTGTGCCCTTGGCACGTGTCTCCCAGTGATGCCATGTGTCACCCAGTGACACAGCAGGACACAGACATGGGAATGATCTGACATGGATACAATATACCCTCCTGCCATGTCTGACTTGTGCCATGTGCACTTTTAGCGCTCTAATCCTGGGTAGGTCTGTGTGCCCTCTCACAGTGGACATATGGGGCTGCCCCAGCCCTGTGACGCCTCACCTGCTCCCACCCCACAACTGCTCACCTGTTGAAGAGGGCCTTGACCCACCCTGAGGTCACCCCATGTGAAGTCAGCTCCCTATTCAGTCTCCCTCACCCACCTCCAAGCTCTGTGGTGCCCACGATTGGCCAGCACCCGGTGCCTGCTCTCATGTTTTGAGCTGGTGGTCAGCTGGCCTTCCTGTGCCTGAGGAGCCCGGCGCCTGGCAGGTGGACCTGCAGAGCCTGGGCAGGCGGCTCTCTGGGCATGAAGGCTAGAGACCCGGGACCAGGGGTGGGTAAGTGTGCACTTCCGTGGGCTGGGGAAAGCAGCGAGCCAGGGGTCCAGAGGTGCAGAGTCCTCCTGTAGCAAAGTGGTGGCGTCCTGAGAGGGCAGCAGGCCAGGAGGACCGTCCTCAGCGCTGGGGGCACACTGGCCCTGGAGAGGATGTGCGGGCAGGGCCGAGCTCTCCATAGCCCTGCCGCCAGGCCTGTGGGCCGTGGGGACCACCCCCGTGATGACAGTGATGTTGCAGGCCGGCATTGGGGTGACCCTGCCAGACCACTATGGGGAAGTCCAGGGCAGCTGAGCCCCACCCACTGCCCCGGGCCTGCAGGGCTTGGAGGAGGGAGGCTCTCTTCTCCCTTCCAGGGGGTCTCCCAACCCAAAGGGCTGCATGGAGCCTGGCAACTGGCTGAAGTCACACGGGAGGTATTTTCAGGATTCCCTCACCTCCACTTACACACTCTCACACGCCCCCTCGCTCCCTGGCCCCTCACCTCCCCCCACAGTGGTGCTGCGTTTCTGTTCTGCAGGGCCAGCCGAGTAAGGGTTCTCCCCAGAGCCCCTTAAAACACAATGAAGGAGGAACTGGAGCAAACCTCACACTGACTTAGAGAAATTCCCTCACGTTCCCTCCAGCCCTGGATCAAGGCTTAAATCTGCCTGACTGGCTGACAACGAGCCCCAGGAGCTGGAAGCTCAGGGAAAGGGCCGGTGGTCTTTATACAACTACTAAGCCCTCCCAGGACCGCATGAGAGGGACCCCCTGCCGCTGACTGGCTACGCACAACAGTCCTAATTTGGGGCCTCTTATTTCTCTCCAGACCTCAAAATCCTGGCCACAAGTTTGATGTTTAGGGGGGCTGTCTGGGAGATAGAGGGCTGACTCCCATTCAGGGATCATTTGCTACCCTCTGGGTGAAGGGCCAGGAGGCTCCCCTTGAGAGGCTGGAAGAGACCAAGCCCTTCACTAAGGGTTTATGAGGAGCCAGGGGCAGGGGGGCACGAGGGCTCTCAGCCCGTGCCGCCCAGACGTGGGAGCAGCTGAACTTCCTTACCTCTCTGACTCCTTTTATGGGACTAAATGACCATTGCTCACACGTGTGTGACACGTCTCCAAACGAGGTTTCAGCATGAAGTTCACCAAAAGCACAAGGACCTGGCGGGGGACCTGGCACCTGGGGCAGGTGCTTCGTGGCCTGGCCGTGGGGGCCGGGGCCATGGTTCAGGCTGCCGGTGTCTGGGTGCTGTCGCGTCCTCCTGCTGCCGACTGCACCCAGCTGCGCCCCTCCCCTCCCAGCTCCCATTGCCTTGGTGGGCCACCCCAAAGAATTCTGGACTCAGTCATGAAGCCCTAGCCTGAACCTGTCATGAAACCCAAATAAAGGACCTTAGGGCTCCCGACAAGTAAATAACATACTATTGCACAGCCTGTATTTCCAGCCATAAAAAGCTCATAAATGGCACTGCCTTCCGACCTCTGAGAGAGTGCTGGCCGGAAACGCACGGCCGCCCGAGACCTGCGGGCAGGGACGCCTGCTCCCTGAAAATACCTGGCCTCCCAGGCCTGGGGGCTCAGAGGGCACCCCGGCTGGAGGTCAGAGCTGAGGAAGGATGGCCTTGAGGCCAGCCTCGGTTGCCTGGCCTGCCCCTAGGCTCCAGGGCCTGCAGGCATCCTGCTGCTGCTCCGAGGCCCTGGGGGCCACTTGCTGAACCTCATTTTCTCCAACTGTGTCTACACACTAATTAGCTCCCTTCCCCACTTGTAAAAGAAGAGCTGTCTCCCCCAGAAGCAGGGGTGGGGGCAACAGAGACATGGGTGTTCCGGGAGGCTTCAGGCGAACTCCTAACCCCTGTGACCAGGGTGGTGAGAGACCAGGGGCTTTAAATCAGCAGGAAACACCACCTTTCTGCCTTAAGCTGTTACCTCAGCCAGTAAATTAAACATGCCCTTAAAGAGTTGATCCTCCTCCAGGAGGTGGGCGTGGGGCCGCCTCCCCACGCTGCCCTGGCTGCCCCGGCACAGCTCACGCGCAGGCCTGGCTCCTGCCGTCCTGGAAGCCGAGGCCCCACCCCTTCGAGGAGCCGAGGAAGCCCTGGGGGCCCTGCGGCTTCCAACCTGATTGTTTTCGAGCTCCGCGCAGTTGCCGGTTCCAAATAATAAGGTGGCGTGTTAATTACCCCCCCTTCTAATTTACCTTTATGTCGAACGCAGTCGCGGGGAAGGTGTATGGGGGGTGTTCTTTCAAACCTAAACAACCTCGGATCTTCAGGGCCGAGGGAACAACACTTAGAGTCCCGTTGCTGCGTTTTTGAAAGGATCCTACGAGTCAATTAAAAAGGAACCCTTGGCCACTTAAAACATAATAATTAACTTCTGTGAATGCAGCTAAATTAAATAAGTGTTATCCCCACGATTTTTTTTTTCCCCCAAGACTTTGGTTTCTTTTGAAAGAAAACATCTTACTTCTCGGGCAGGTCTGGCTGCAAGCAGCATGAGGATTCTGGAGTGATTTGTCTTGCACTTGCGAGTCTCTGTCTCCCTGGAGACGCCCATTTTCACTGGTGGACCTCAGGGCGCAGGGCGGGGCCGCAGCAGGCAAGGGCCCAGTGGCCGAACTTCCCCGGTAGGGACCTGGGCGGACACTGCAGGTCAGAGGTCAGCAGGCCCTGAGTGTGGACCAGCGGCTTCCCGCTGCCCCGCCGACCTCGCAGGCCCCGCCTCTCCGCTCTGCCCCATCCGCTGGGACATTTACTCTATTGAGGTGGAATTCACATAGCCCAAGACATACCCCTCTTAACGTGTACAAGCTCAGTGGCGTTTGGGACAGTCACTGATGTGCGACCATCATCTCTTTCTGGCTCCAGAAGTTTCTTCCCCCAGGGAGGCCCCGTGCCCCAGCCCAGCCCCCCAGCCACCACCGCATGAATTCGGCCCTACGGGTGGGCCTTTTGAGGACATGGCACACAGATGGCCCGTATGACCTGCCTTTGCGTCTGGCTTCTTCTGTCACCCCGCGTGGGGCAAGGCTCACCTGCTGAAGCGGGTGTCCAGGCCCTCCCCTTCTCCGGCCGGGCAGCAGTCCATGGGGTGGGCAGGCCGTGACTTGTTCTCCGTGCATCTATTGATGGACACCTGGGCTGCTCTGTCTTTGCAGGCCTGTGGGTAACGAGGCCATGGATATTCTTCTGAGTCCCTGTTTTCAGCTCCTTTGGGTAGAAAGCTGGGGTGAAGTCGCCTTCCCGACTGGACTCCTCTGGCCCCCCTGTGTGACCCAGCCCACTTCTCATCTCCTTGAGCCTCAGGAATATGTTCACGTGGCATTATCTTGCCACCAACTGTGTCAGGATGGACCCCAAAGAAAGGCCCTCATGAGACACACAAGCCGGGGACTCTTTTGCTCAGTCCTGTGACCTGCAGCCCCAAGAGACCCATATTCATGACCTCTGCAGGCCTCTGTCCTGACCCGCCATGCAGTCATTGGAAACTTCTAGAACCATCCCCTGAGCCTGGCTGGCCTTACAGAGTCGGTCAGAGGTGCCCAGGTGTTGGGGTAAATTTCACGGCAACCCAAAATTCTGATTCCTCCCAACAACTTGGGCCGTATCTTCATTCCCTAATTTTCGAGGCTGCAGACAGGAATTAGAAAGCTCTGGGAAGATTAGTTTGCCAGAGTTTTCCCCACTTCTCCCCAATTTGTGGGGCATGATGGATCCTTGTGAGGGGCCTCACGGGCTGCAGGGAGACCCTGCCAGGCTGCCAGGTGCGCAATGCTGGTCCCTAGGGGGCCTGGGAGATGCCTCCAGAGGAGCCATAGGAGAACGAGGGCCGCTTTACTCTGGATGGGGAGGGATCGTGGCAGCTATCTCTGGGCCCTTTGGCGACCCTGTGTGCCAGGTGTCCCCTGAGCCGAGCTTGACGCTGCGTTGTTTCCTTCAGGTGACGGTGACATTGTAAATAATATGTATGAGCCTGACGTGGACCTGCTGGCTGGTGAGAGCGCAGAGGACGAGACTGAGGACAGCGCCATGTCCCCCATCCCCGTGGGGCCGCCGTCCCCCTTCCCCACCAGCGAGGACTTCACCCCCAAGGAGGGCTCGCCCTACGAGGCCCCTGTCTACATCCCCGAGGACATTCCCATCCCGCCAGACTTTGAGCTCCGAGAGTCCTCCATCCCTGGGGCCGGCCTGGGGATCTGGGCCAAGAAGAAGATGGAAATCGGGGAGAGGTTCGGCCCGTACACGGCGGCACCCCGGGCCACGCTGAAGGAGGCAGACTTTGGATGGGAGGTGAGCGTTCTCATGTGAGCGTGATTGATCACAGCCATTTATCTTGTGTTCCATCTATTTATAAAGCCAGGCTGAGCAACCACTGCCCGAGGCGGGAGGCTCCGTCGGAGAGAGCGTTCGAATGTCACATTTCCCAGGCTTATTTTATCCTGCAGCTTGCATGACGCGACTCAGAAAACATGGGAGTCCTCGTGGACGCCTGTCAGCCCCATAGGCTGTGCCTGCTCTCTTCCCGGAAATGTGTCTTTAATGAGCTCATGTCTTAAAACACCCCGTGCTTCCCGTCTGGGTCTTAGGTGCTAAGGCTGCCATCTCGCAGAACGGAGGGAATTGGTGGAAAGTCCCGGGACAGGGGTCTCTTCCCTGAGGAAAGGTCCTGCAGACGGGGTCCTAACTCCTGCTGTGAGCAGCATGGGCCCCTCATAAAACAAGCCCAGTGGCTGTGCTGCCCCCGGGCACCCCGTGCCCATCAGCGCTGAGGGCCTCCTGCCTGCCCGGCCCTGGTCAGCCAGCCCCCTAAGAGGAGTTCGCTCTCAGATGAGCAGGGGGGCGTCTCACGGTCTGGATTAACCTAGCAGTCTGGGCCTGGCTGGGTAGTTCTGGAGCTCGTGAGCAGTCAGGGGAGGGCAGGCCCACTAGGTGAGGGGTGCTGCCATCTGCAGAGGCATCCCTCCCTTAGGAGGCGTCCTGCTGAGGCCCTGTCTGGGGGGCTCTCAGGGAAGTCCCATGGGGACCAGGAGCCCCATGGTAGCACCCTGCGCACTGGTGCCAGCCCCACACAGCCGGGGCTCGCTGTTTCAGGCAGGGACCCTGCCAGGGCAGAAAATGTAAATGAAAACCCAGATGCCTTCTGGCTGCTTCTCAACCTCCCAGGTGCTTGGATGGAGGTCAGTTCTCAGAAGGGCCAAAAGCCCAAGGAGGACAGAGGACCCTCAAGGCAGGACCCCGCCCTCCCCAACCTCTTAGTGGCTTTGGAAGGTTTCCAATCTGTGGCACCTCTGTGCTCTGGGGATAGTGGGGACAGGATTTGGCTCTGAATTTGCTCCCAGGAAGCCTTAGGGTTTTTACACATCACCCTTCATGCCGACATTGCTCCCTAGACAACCAGGCTGGGATGCACGCCCTCTCCCCGACCCCATGGGAGGCTCTGGGACCCCCAGTGGCCCATGCACATACCCCTGGTCCATCAGTGTGAGAAACCCCTTCTAAGGACTCAGGGAGGTGGGATGTGTGGTTCTCGGGTGGTAGAAGTGCCCACAACCTGCCAAACTGGCACCCTTGCTCCCTTCCTAAACACTGGAGCCTCCAACTTCCCAGCAGGCAGGCAGTGTGGTCCACGGTGACACATGGGCTGCAAACACTGGGGTCACAGAAACTCTCTGCCCGAGTACCAGCCTAAGATCCCGTGCTCTTTGAGGGCCTTGGACGGAGCATGGAGCTCCGGAGCTCGCTGTGATCCAAACAGTGGGAGCCCCGGCCGCGCGTGTGGGCGGAGATGCAGGTGCGCGCACTCACGCTGGGTCACCATCAGAACCGGCGTCAGGTGAGGGAGGATGCAAGGGGAGCTGGAGCTGCAGCTCTCCTGTGGGCAAGCTGCCTGTTCTGCCCCAGAGGGGACTCAGGACCAAGGGGAGCATTTTTCAGACAGCGTGACAGGTAAGCAGGTATGGCTCGGAGGTGGCTTTGTGCAGACTCGGCAGCCCATCCTTCCCGATCTGGCTGTTCGGGAGAGGAATGTACGGGTGTTTGCCTGACACACTCAGAAAGCTCTGAGTTATTTAATTAGTAGGTGGCTTTTAGATGTCGGTGGGTAAACTAACCTTACAGGTAGCTCTTTGGATGACCTTGAGGCAGCTTTGTTCTTGTCTGCTCTGATACAAGGTACTGTTTGCTCTCTTTCTAAAAGAAATGGCCCGTATCGCCGTGGCACGCTCGGTGCCAGGCCTGGTACGGGCTGTCGCCATTGTCTGCCCGGTGCCTGTTGACTTTGTGATATTATTTATGCCCGGTGTACGTGCGGGAACGCTCCCCTCCACGGTGGGCCTCCTGCGTCTGCAGCAGGCTTTGTTCTGTGGTCGTGGCCTCACAGCCGCCCTTCATGCCAGCACTTGGAAATATTTGCCCTCGATCCAATGTCCTCAAGCCGTGTTCCAGATGTACCCCGACGTTATCTTGAATGACCTCATCTTCGTGAGCTCAGGCACTGCTTCCCTGCCTTGGGCCTTGAGGCCTTCCGTCTGACGGGGTCCCGCGTGGGAAGGACCGCAGCATTGAATGGGAATGAGAGCGGGGCCAGGTGCCCCGGAAACTCAGGGCAAACTCACTGCTGCCTGAAATAAGTAAGTAAGGTCAGGGTGGTTTCTTTCTAGCTCCCTGGACCTCGGTTTGGGCCTTTAAGGCAGGAAGACCAAGCCGTCTTCCTTTGTCAGCAGCCTTACTGGGATTTCCCACGCATACCGGGAAGCAGGCTGTCTCCGTCCGGTTGGGTTTTGTGCCTCACTCTTGTAGGGACGGGCCACTTGGGGCTCCCTGGTGCCCTCACCCTAGGTTGTCTTTGCTTTGACTTGCCTGTAAAAGGGCCTGGACAGGGAGCAGAAAGCCGAGGCTCCAGAGTGCCGTCCTCCTGTGGCTGTGGACTGGAGAGGGGCCTCCAGGAGCCCCTGCGCCACTAACACCAATAAGTCAGCCTGACCGAGCTTCTATGGAGTTGCTCTCCCCAGGCCTGCAGTGCGCCCAGCCCTGGGCAGGCCCAGAGAAACTGGGAAAACATTAGTGCACAGATGTCACCAGCAGAGAAGCCGGGTCGGATTGAGGCCCACCAGTCCCGAGTTTTAGATGCATCGTGGTTCGCTCTCGTGCTGGCAATCAAGTTTTATAAATGAGGGCCGTTCGACTTTACTACAGTTTGCATGGTATCAATTTACTGAAAAGGAACAGGTGCTGACATTTTAGCAGAAACGACAAAGGAAATCCGCGGACGATCCGGGCTGGTTTTGGACTCGTAACAGAAGCGGCAGGTCCGAGCTGCTGGGTGGAGTCAGAGAGTCCAGAATGCAGAGGGGGGGTGCCAGCGGGCCCCCAGTTCCTCCCCATAGGACAGGTGTCCCCCCAGGACTGGTCTACAGCCAAGGTCAGATAGGTTATTCTTGATGACATTTTGGGAGACCATAGAAACAATTTTCTTTCTACTCTGAGAACAAGGTGCTTGTTTGGACCATTCCATTGAAATAAAACCAAACTGTCCTGTTTCCTTTTGTAATGGACACAGTGCCTGGTCAACACATGGTTCCTGGTGACAGCCACTGTGGCCTAAGAGCTTCTCTCAAACACTGGGGCTGAGTCGTGGGTGACCTACAACCCCTAGGCTCAAGGTCAGGGGGCACTCTTGTTTCCCACAGGAGTTTCCTTTGCAAAAACGGGATGCAGGACTGGCTGGATAGCTAAGCCCCTCCCTCTGCCTGCTCATTTCAAGTCCTTCCCGCCTTTCCAGCACAGATCTGGTGCATTAATATTCAAGGACTCCAGACCTCCCTTCTCCTGGGTGCTTTGGGACGCACCAACAAGTGAGTCCATGTCATTTTGAAAGAAAATGTACCCAGTGTCAGATGGTTCCCTCCCCACACACCACGGGCCTGGTCAGCCACATCTGTGGGGGAAGGTGGGACGTGGAAATGGCCCCCTGGGCTCTATCTCAAAGGAGTCGGTGGGTAAACTAACCTTACAGGTAGCTCTTTGGATGACCTTGAGGCAGCTTTGTTCTTGTCTGCTCTGATACAAGGTACTGTTTGCTCTCTTTCTAAAAGAAATGGCCCGTATCGCCGTGGCACGCTCGGTGCCAGGCCTGGTACGGGCTGTCGCCATTGTCTGCCCGGTGCCTGTTGACTTTGTGATATTATTTATGCCCGGTGTACGTGCGGGAACGCTCCCCTCCACGGTGGGCCTCCTGCGTCTGCAGCAGGCTTTGTTCTGTGGTCGTGGCCTCACAGCCGCCCTTCATGCCAGCACTTGGAAATATTTGCCCTCGATCCAATGTCCTCAAGCCGTGTTCCAGATGTACCCCGACGTTATCTTGAATGACCTCATCTTCGTGAGCTCAGGCACTGCTTCCCTGCCTTGGGCCTTGAGGCCTTCCGTCTGACGGGGTCCCGCGTGGGAAGGACCGCAGCATTGAATGGGAATGAGAGCGGGGCCAGGTGCCCCGGAAACTCAGGGCAAACTCACTGCTGCCTGAAATAAGTAAGTAAGGTCAGGGTGGTTTCTTTCTAGCTCCCTGGACCTCGGTTTGGGCCTTTAAGGCAGGAAGACCAAGCCGTCTTCCTTTGTCAGCAGCCTTACTGGGATTTCCCACGCATACCGGGAAGCAGGCTGTCTCCGTCCGGTTGGGTTTTGTGCCTCACTCTTGTAGGGACGGGCCACTTGGGGCTCCCTGGTGCCCTCACCCTAGGTTGTCTTTGCTTTGACTTGCCTGTAAAAGGGCCTGGACAGGGAGCAGAAAGCCGAGGCTCCAGAGCGCCGTCCTCCTGTGGCTGTGGACTGGAGAGGGGCCTCCAGGAGCCCCTGCGCCACTAACACCAATAAGTCAGCCTGACCGAGCTTCTACGGAGTTGCTCTCCCCAGGCCTGCAGTGCGCCCAGCCCTGGGCAGGCCCAGAGAAACTGGGAAAACATTAGTGCACAGATGTCACCAGCAGAGAAGCCGGGTCGGATTGAGGCCCACCAGTCCCGAGTTTTAGATGCATCGTGGTTCGCTCTCGTGCTGGCAATCAAGTTTTATAAATGAGGGCCGTTCGACTTTACTACAGTTTGCATGGTATCAATTTACTGAAAAGGAACAGGTGCTGACATTTTAGCAGAAACGACAAAGGAAATCCGCGGACGATCCGGGCTGGTTTTGGACTCGTAACAGAAGCGGCAGGTCCGAGCTGCTGGGTGGAGTCAGAGAGTCCAGAATGCAGAGGGGGGGTGCCAGCGGGCCCCCAGTTCCTCCCCATAGGACAGGTG